AAGATATATATATAAGCAAGTTATTTTGTGTCATTTTGTGTCAGTTCAATTTTTAGCACGTTAAAATAAGTTTTAAGCATTTTTGAGATCACAAAGGCCATACATTTTCACGACCAAAGTTAAACTGCAGACTAAGAGCTCCACAGATTAAATATGACAAACTGCATTGAAAACTTGCTGTGCCATCCCCACAGTTGATCTATTCAGTGCCTATTGTGGGATTATGCAGCATGTATTCAAGTGGGCCATATTTTGTCCGCAGATCTGTTACTGTTAGTCCACCGATCATCTGAATGCTGGCTCAGGAACCATTCCTAAGCTTACTCTATTTTATTGTCTCTATGGGGGTATATGGGGACTTTACGACATACGGTTTGAATACTTTGACCACTTTTGATAGGGCTTTTTTTGCATTGTATTAGATTAATGTGGCAGTCTAAGGTTGTTCTAGGTGGTTTTAAAACCATTTGGGATTTTACGACAGTCATTTACTATCCAATCAAGGTGACAGCCGAGCGTGGGAACACAGCTGAAGTGTCATGGACAAACCTTTCGTCCTTCTCCTATCCTCCACCTCCGGAGGGGTCTCCATGCGGTCCAGGATATTGCCCAACAAATCCATCTTCTGAAACAGAAATAGCAATTTCAAATACGTACACTTGTCAATCATTCAGTAAATGTATGTATTTTGTGGACTGTATGGAAATTGACTTTTTTCTTTCATTTTTCAATTATTAATATTAAAGGAAATATATATACCCAAAATTACGGGTGATATTTGGCTCCTTTCTCTCCAACGTCATATTTCAAAAACTACTTTTATTTCACTGTCACATTAACATCGCTCATAACTTACCTTTATCTCTGATTCAAACAAAACTACACTAATTTCGATATCACGCAAAGAGAAACTTCTCGTGGGACTCCATGTTGCAAGTACCCGGATAAAATTGTAGAAATCATTTTCAACGAATCAGAATCACCGTGATAGTAAAGCCCGTAGCTAGTTGATTAATTTTGTCCAATGAAATTCCAGCAATTTCGCAGCCGGGTCTTGATGTGCTACACAATTTCGGCATCAATTTTGAGATGGCTATGGTAAACAAAAAGAAAAAGTCCTTTATAGGACTACCAGCTCCTCTAGGCTATGTGCCTGGTTTAGGGAGAGGGTAAGCTAAGCCTTCTATTGATCAATGGTGCTCGTTGAGGAGAAAGGTCGCTTGCACGCGTGTTTGTGTGAGTGCGTGTGTGTTTGTGTGTGTGCGTGCGAGAGAGAGAGAGAGAGAGAGAGAGAGAGAGAGTTACCGAACGAGTGAGGCATTTTCATAGTTGTAAATATTTGGTGATAAAGAAACATTCTTTAAATTGTGCTTAAGAAACACTTTTTTCATCTTCTATCTCTGTTATTTGTATTATGGATTGTAATTTGGATTGCTTGTTTACGATAACGGTACATTTTACTTATAACTTTTCCACACTTTAATTTCCAGTGCGACTGGCTTCACAACAAGATCTGATATTGGTCCTGCCAGGGATGCCAGTGATGTCAGGTAAGAACATTAAAAAATGAGGAAGGGGGGGGGGGAGTTAGGGCATAATTAAATTGAGAAATACATGCTATAGATATATGAAGTTTTATAAATTACTGTTATTGCACCAAATTGAGTATTACGTCGGGGGTGTCTCCATAGTCCGAAGGTTCATTGGTCCGAAGGTTCATTGGTCCAAAAAGTGGTAACATTTTCATCGATTTTTTAATCAAGAGTTCATTGGTCCGAAGGTTCTATAGTGAAAATTGGGACCAATGAACCTTCGGACTATTGAACCTTCGGACTATCGCTACGGCCCCATTACGTCAACTGTATTTTCTGGTTCTAGACCAACAACACATGGAGACAACACAATAATGCAAGTTGACACTTCACTCTTTCTATTTCCCCAACTCCTTGTATATACGTACAACAATAATAACATTGCATGAAAACACTACAATGTATACATTACATTCACAACATTTGACAGTTCTAATAATCATTCAATATTAAAATGGAAATCGCAAGTTCATTGAACTGAATTCTTGTGTTTCTTGCAGCGATGACCGCCATGCCCCTCCTGTAAAGAAAGCCAAACATGACGATGATGATGATGAAGATCTTAACGATGCCAATTATGACGAGGTGCGTAATATGTAATGATATATAATATAGTATTATTATATATATTTTATTACATAATATATAATATATATATAATATGTAATAAAATAAGCTTTTCTTACGCTAAAATTACCTCGAGGGTATAAAATACTGGTGAGAGTGATTGAGCACTGGCACCACCATGTTTTGCTCAACACATATAAAACAATGGACAGGGACAATTTTAAATACCAAAATGCAATCTTAAATCTCATCTATATGTGATGACATGATATTCATGGATAATTTTAAAAAATATGTCAGTTTCAATTTTTTATAAGATTTTAGTGTGTGTGAACAGGGTTTTAAAAATTGTTTGATTTTGTCTTGTTTCTATCCAACCTTTTTGTTGCATTATAATTAATGCTTATAGTATTTTTATAGTAGTTTACATCGTTTTTGTAGTTCACTGGCTATGGAGGAAGTATTTGTGGCAAAGATCCTTATGACAAGGATGACGAAGAAGCTGACCAGATCTACGATTCTGTCGACAAACGTATGGATGAGAGAAGAAAGGAGAGGCGGGAGATGAGACTCAAGGAAGAAATTGAGAAGTTCCGTCAAGAGCGGCCAAAAATTCAGCAGCAGTTTTCAGATTTAAAGGTAGATTACATCATCCTAATTACCAACCTACTAATAGGTTCCTCTAGCTCAAATGCTAGTTTATGAATAAAAATAATAACCTGAGAAATAAGCACAAAAAAGCTGCAAGTAGTTACATTGAGTTAGTTTGTAGAAGTGTTTTTTAAGCATTCTTAGAGAAAATTTAAAAAAAATTGTTTTTAGAGGTCAACCCCCCTCCCCCCCGCCCCCCCCCCCAAATTATAAAAAAGGAAAAGAAAAAAGCAAGCAGTTATAAATCTGGTTACTTTTATAGATTAAACTGGTAAATCTGGTGTTTTGTAGAAGTAGTCTTCGATAATGTATTTGCTGTTTCATTTTCAGCGTGAGCTGGCAGATGTAAGCTTTGACGAGTGGGCCAGTCTACCAGATGTAGGAGACGCCAGAAATAAGAGACAAAGAAATCCAAAGGCTGACAAGTAGGCTATGTTTAAAAAGTTCACAAGATGGGGCCCAAAAAAGAATTTGAGAAGGTTCTTCAAAAAAAAAAAAAAAAAAGGATACTGGGATGATAATTTAAAGTATTTCTTGGATATTCATTTTTTGCTCTGTTCATATGCAGCTATTATTTATTCTAATGTTTGCAGTCTGTGCACAAAACAAATTGAGCCTTCTGGCTCACTGAGGCACCAGAATATAAATATATAGAATATAAGTTGAGATGATAAAAATTTTGATATAATATTCCAGGTTTACACCTGTTCCTGACACATTCCTGGCAAACGCAGCTTCAAAACAAGACGGAAATGTGGCAGTATCAGCAAGAGATCAGGTACCATAATTCATAAGATAAGAGTTTATTCGGCCATTAATAAATATATTAAAATTCGCATGCAACAGAAGTTGGATTACTTGCCAAGTAGAATGTGCAGAGTTTGATATATTCCAACATCAATTGAAATTTGTCTAAATTGAAATGTTTAGTAATTTAAGCTTCTCAACTGTGGTGCAATGTATTCATATTAAATATGACAGCTTCTTAATGTACAGTAATTAAGATTGGTTTAGCAAAGCCCCATGGTGCAATGTCTCCTGGATTAGCCACACCTGTATTTATGTAATCTTCCTGTTATTTAGTTTGGTATTGCCACCCCCTATGGAGCAATGACCCCAGGGTTGTCAACTCCTGCTGCCGACATTGACATGAAGAAAATAGGACAGGCCAGAAACACACTGATGGACATCAAACTCACGCAGGTTGGTATAGAAATAATAAAAAAAGTATAATGCCTCTCAGAAAATGCCATATATAAATCCAGTTGTAGATTTTGATATGATTATAGAAATTTATTGATACATTGCTTTTATAATATTCATCATTAATGAGTAAAAATAAGTATTAAAAATAAATAAGAAAACAAATTATAGATAAATAGATGCTTAAATGAATAAGTGATTAATAAATTGAAATAAATAGGTGAATGAATAAAAGAGTAGATAAGTTAATGAATAAATGAACTAGTTACTGTGTGAGCTTGCATTATTTGATTAAAAGCATAATGACCCAATGTCCATGTTCCAGGTGTCAGACTCGGTCAGTGGCCAAACTGTGGTGGACCCCAAGGGCTACCTGACTGACCTACAGTCCATGCTGCCCTCTCACGGTGGAGATATCAGGTGAGGAAATACTTCATAATGCTGAATAAATAATAGAACTTCACTTTTTTTGGGAGTATAAATGAGATTCTGAGTAAATAATAGAACTTCACTTTTCTTGTAGTATTAATATCAGTCATGCTGAAACTGTTGGACCTAAATCCTTCAGATTCTGAATAGATTATAGAACTTCACTTTTATTGGAGTGTTAAGTCCAGACATGCTGAAACTGTTGGACCTAAATCCTTCAGATTCTGAATAGATTATAGAACTTCACTTTTATTGTCCACATATTAAAACACGATATAATGGCATCAAATTACTGTGATTTCTTTTAGTGATGTCAAGAAGGCAAGGTTGCTATTGAAGTCAGTGAGAGAAACCAACCCCAAGCACCCGCCAGCTTGGATAGCCTCTGCCAGACTGGAGGAAGTGACGGGGAAACTCCAGGCGGCCAGAAATCTGATCATGAAGGGATGTGAGGAGTGTCCCAACAGTGAGGATGTGTGGCTGGAGGCTGCGAGACTCATGGTGAGAGGAGTGCGCACACACGCACGCACACACACATACACACACACACACACACATCCAGGTGCTCATGAACAAACACATTCATATTCACAAGTGCAAACATACATGCACATACATGTGCAAACAAAGATATGTGCATATGCATGTGAGTTTCATGTATGTATAAAAATAAAACCAACTTCTGGACATATATATATATATATATATATATATATATATATATATATATATATATATTTACTTTATTTGTAGCCATATCAGATTCTGATTAATTATGTTGGATTATTCACATCCAGTTTAATCTGGAGAAATGGATCAGTCAGCATCTGATCAGCTTGCACAATTATTGTCACAACTGAGGCAACCACCGGTCTCTTCTGACACAATCACAGCCACACTAAACATGGGTCACTCTCAACAAAAAGGAGCACATTCAACACAATCAGATAACATTGTCAGGATATATAAATCAGATCACATCAAATCGAGACAAATTCACACCAAACTCAATTGGATCGCCCTCTTACACAATCCCTGTTGCTACCATCACAATCACTGTCACAACCAACACAATCAACATCACGTCTAACACAATCAAGTTGTATCCAACACAAATCACAACCAACACAGTCACTGTCACAGCCAAAACAGTCACACCTAACACAATCAAGTTGTATCCAACACAAATCGCAACCAACACAGTCACTGTCAGAGCTAACACAATGTATCTTCTCCAGCCAGGAGACCAGGCCAAGGCAGTGGTGGCCCAGGCAGTGAGATCTCTGCAGCATTCAGTGAGGGTGTGGATCAAGGCAGCAGACCTGGAGGTGGAGCTGAAGGGAAAGAAGAGGGTGTTCAGGAAGGGTGAGTTGGGGTGGGGGTGGGGGTGGCATTGTGTACAACTGAGTATGAGGCTCTTCAGGAAGTGTGAGTACTAGTATGTGTGTATGTGTGTTTATAGGGGAGAACATTGTGTTCAGCTGAGTCTGGGGCTCTTCAGGAAGTGTGAGTATATATGTGTGTGTGGGGTGGGGGGGGGGTGGCATTGTGTTCAATTGAGTCTGGTGTTGTTCAAGAAGGGTGAGTGTGTATTTGTTTGTGGGGGGGGAGGCATTGTGTTCTACTGAGTCTGGGACTCTTGATATTTGTAATCTCTTTTAGTAATTGTTGTTTACATAGATGCTTGTGCTGTTCTATGGTTGCCTTGTTTTAATCTGTTTATGTTTTTTTTTTTTTATTAATTAGTTATTTAACAGCCTCACTCGAAAAGTTATGGAAGGATTTTTATGAAATTTTCAGCATAGGTCAAACTTATAACATCTAATAATATAATAAAGCATAAGTGTAAGAAAAATATTCAGTTTCTTTGGTGTGGGTGATCTGCAGGCTGTCAGTGCTTTCTTTTCTAATTCCATTTTGTTGGAAAATTTTCTTTATCAATAATTTTACTTTGTGTATATTCATTGCAGCCTTGGAGCATGTCCCAAACTAATTCCATATTGATTGAATATTTTTTTCATTGGTGAATATTCATTATAGCCTTGGAACGTGTCCCAACATGTCCCAAACTAATGCCCTTTTGTTTGAATATTTTTTTTATTGGTGATTTTACTTTGTGTATTTTCATTACAGCCTTGGAGCATGTCCCAAACTCTGTGCGCCTGTGGAAGGCGGCAGTAGAGCTGGAGGAGGAGGAGGACGCCAGGATTATGTTGAGTAGAGCAGTGGAGTGTTGTCCCACCAGTGTGGAGGTGAGCACTGGTGTCACAACCAACACATTCTGGTGTCACAGCTAACACAATATGGTTTCATAGCCAACACAATCTGGTGTCACAACCAACACATTCAGGTGTCACAGCTAACACAATCTGCTGTCACAACCAATACATTCAGGTGTCACAACTAACACAATCTGTTGTGTTACAAACACAATATGGTGTAACAACCAACAGAAGTGTTTGTGGTGGGTTTTACTGTGTTCCAGGGAGAATTGATTATTTGTTAGCTTCACTGGAGGAGGTTATGATTTTATCCATGTCTTATCTAACAACTAATTTTGGCAGTATTGTGTTTGATACTTAGCTCTGACCAGCTTTGAATAAATCAAAACATACATTCAGGGTTGTAATATGTACCACAGTCTTCTCATATCTAAAGCAATATTATTTTCCCACTAACGCACTCTGTCTTTCACTCCAGCTGTGGCTTGCGTTAGCCAGGTTAGAGAACTACGAGAATGCCAGGAAAGTGCTGAACAAGGCGAGAGAAAACATCCCCACAGACAGACAGATCTGGGTCACGGCCGCCAAGCTGGAGGAAGCCCACGGCAACACACACATGGTGGAGAAGATCATAGAAAGAGGTGTGTGGTTATCACTAGAAGTTTTATAGTTGAACTGACTGTCAAAAAAGTTTAGACATAAATTTTAACTTTGAAGGAATATTGGCAAATGAAGAGAAAGAAAATTTGCAAATCTCTTAATGATGGAAAAGATTACAAAAAGAGGTATGTGGTCATCACTAAAAGTGTTACAGAAAGTTCGACTGTCAATAAAAAAATATGTGATATAAAAGGTGAACTTTGAAGGAATATTGGCTAATGAAAGGGGAAAAAACTATAGAAAGAGGTGTGTGGTTATCACTATGGTAAACTAATGGCTCAGTCATTTCAACCCGGAAAAGTGTGAATTTTACAGATACTATATTTTTCAGTGATAATTTTTTTTAATTAGAACATTTCTATTGAGTGGTAACAACACAATCAAAAAGCAGACTACACAGGCTAATAGCTTTATTCTTTACACTGTAAAAGCACCATAATGCTAAATAGAAGTGTATTTTTAATGATCCCAAAATTATTTCTACTTAATTTTAAGTACTGAATGGTTAAAGTTGTAGAAAGGTGGGCAAACATGTAAAAGAAAAGTTATCAAATCGAAAATTAAAAAAACATAAATTAGTTTGGAAAAAAGTTGAATTATAGAGAGAAGAAAAATGAACAATGTGGAGCGGAAAGTTATTGAAATGTATTTACTTTCATTCAAGCCCTGAACTCTCTGCGGGCCAACATGGTGGAGATCAGCAGAGACCAGTGGATCAAGGATGCCGAGGACTGCGAGAAATCTGGGAGTATTCACACCTGTCAGGCCATCATGTAAGTTTGCTCAACCAAAGGCGGGTTTTAAAATTAATCATAGTATTAAAACTGGTCTAAATTTTAGGACGTCTCTGACACAAGTATTAAATGGCATACAGAAGTTTATATTTATAATAAAAGTAGATAACTTTGGTCTAAAAGTTACCCAACTGTAGCTCTTTTGTGAAACTTGAGCCACTATTTGCACTTAACAGTTTATTTGCTACGAGTTTAGAATATTATCTTATAAACATTTTAAATGTTGTAAACATGTGGGAAATTATCTTATTTTTTCCCCATTATATATTTATTTAATTTCATTTGCAGTCGAGCAGTTGTTGGTGTTGGAGTTGAATTGACAAAATGGCCTTTTTTTTTTTCATCTTTATTTTCTGTTTTTTGTCTGTACATTTGACAGCTTTGCTGCCTTGTTTCCCCATTATTTATTAATTTATTTAATTACATTTGCAGTCGAGCAGTTGTTGGTGTTGGAGTTGAAGATGAGGACAGAAAACACACTTGGATGGAAGATGCAGAATCTGTGAGTACTGAGTCTGTATTCCCACAGATTTAGATCGATCCAGGGATTAATATTTAGATCGACCTAACTCCCTGGGGGTTCAAGCTAAATTGCAGTCAGCCGAGCGTGCACCATAGTTAATTACCCCCTAGCAGCTTTCAGTAGGCGGGACAGACGCTTAAGCTGACAGTTATCTAGTGAGACTCCCGACAGGGCTTCATTCACATACAATGTCTATTTTCTAAATTCTATTTTCTATTTGTGGTATGTCTTATGATCACGGTCTGTGCCCTGAATATCCCACGGCGTAATTACTGGCAGCGCGAGCCAGTTACTATAAGTTACTATAAGATAGCGCGAATAGAAAATAGATTTTTAGAAAATAGACATTCCATGTGAACGAAGCCTTGATGTTTGCTTATTAACTAACACACAAATGACATGTAAGTATTATTACTGACAAGAGAGAAACTAATACCTAAGATTGTGTCTACAGCAGTAGGTAAATTTAGATGCCTCATAAAAACAATATGATTTGTCATAACTGATGCTTAGCATTTTTCTGGCATTAAGTCAACTCTTGGAACTTTGGAATCATCATATTTTGTGCTGCCACTTGCAAAATGTTGTCCTCTGGAAAATAAATGAGTAATTGAATATTATGGATCTCAAGAAAATAAAAAAGTGAAATTTATGATTATTTTTAGATAATTTATCTGAAAAAGCACTTACAAATACAAGAAAAAAAAAATTAGTGCACAAATATGTACTCATACATACACAATGAAGATGGAAAGTAATTAAACATACACATAAAATAGATTAATTCTAATCCACTTTTTCGAAAAGCTTTTTACTATGGAAGAAATTTGCGATTATATACCTTTTTTTTCCAGTGTGCATCCCAGGGTGCCGTGGAGTGCGCCAGGGCCATTTACGCACATGCACTTTCTGTGTTCCCCAGCAAGAAGAGTATCTGGCTACGAGCAGCCTTCTTTGAGAAGAATTATGGGACAAAGTTAGTGTCATTTCTTTACAGTTTTTGGTATTGCTGAGTTGGGCTCTTTTAGAATTTTTTCTATGCCAAAATAATGTTTCCTATACATAAAATGCAGCCAATGACAGAAGTTTCCAACCAGTGTGATAATTTTCCAAAATCAGCATCTGAATTCATTTTTTTTTCTTTTTTGCCATTATCTCGATGTCTGTCAGGCTGCTGTCTATCAGAGTGTTAAAAAAAGCTGATGAAATTATTTTTTACATTGATTTTGATTATCCTTTGGGTTTGCTGTATAGGGAACCTGGGGTAGAGCTAACACTCGCCAATTTAGCCAAATGCTTAAACTTACTTAAATAGGCAAAGGAAAAAGGGCTTGATTTAACTTGTTTTAGTCATATTACAACCATTTTGATAACAAATTGGCAAAAAAAGTGGTGATTTGGCTAAGTGAAAAAAATTGCTAGCGCTACCCCAGGGAACATCTGGAAACCGTCCTTCTTCTCGACAAACACCGAAGTATTGTAGCATATTATATCTGTATTATATCAGCTACAGTGTTAAAGCAATGGAATTATTATCCTTAATAATCTTTGGGAAATCTCTGGAAACCCTCCCTCAGACAGCCACTGCCCACTACTTATAAAATTTGTACAGGAATGACTGACCACTTTGATAATTCTTTTTCATTTTTGGTTTTGCTCTTCAGGGAATCTCTGGAAACCCTCCTTCAGAAGGCCGTTGCCCACTGCCCCAAGGCAGAAACTCTGTGGCTGATGGGAGCCAAATCAAAATGGCTGACGGTAAGTAGCGCGAATTTTTTTTTTTTTTTTTTTATGTCAGTCAGATTGAATTTTTGATATGTGATATAGGTTGTGTCACATTGAGCAAGTCACATCAAATCTTGGCTCTAGTATTTTGACTGAGGGTTAGTAGTGAACTGAGGGCCTGTTTAAAAAAAAAAAAACATTCGGACCAAGTTGATCCATGGATTAACAGGCGCGTGGACTAAATATGGCCAACGCACTTAAAAGGAAAGCCATTATATCCCCTGATGCTGTTGCTGCAGGGGCCTAGCAATGAAACCTCAGAGCCAAGATTTAATCCATCTAATGGCTTGTGTGGAGGCTTTGCAAAGGCTTACTATTATTTCTATATTTTTATTGATCTTTTAACATTTTATTCAGGGAGACGTACCAGCTGCCAGAAGCATTCTGGCCCTTGCCTTCCAAGCCAATCCAAACAGCGAGGAGATATGGCTGGCAGCTGTGAAACTGGAGAGCGAGAACAACGAGTTTGAGAGATCACGAAGGTTGCTGGAGAAAGCACGTGCCAGTGCACCTACTGCTAGGGTAAGGGCTCCTCCAGCGAACATGCATAGCCACGTATAGTGAATTTTCAGTGCATGTGAGCATTTGTACGATGCTTTTATACGTATGTATCATGGTGATGTTTTATGTTGATTATATTTTTAAAAATTATTTAAATCTGGATTTAAACTTCCATAGCAAATGATAGAGTTATTAGTAATTGAGTTCTGAAAAAATGGAACAGTTGATACATTTATTTTCACACTTATATCTAATTATCTGTATACTGATCACAGATTAAACTGGTGAATAAGGGCTGATTTAAAACTTGAACCTCTAATTTAGGACCCATATCTCTGCTTTAGACCTTCACCTTTACTTTAAGACCTAATTCTTTCATTTTAGACCCAAATATCTGTTTTAAGACCAGTATCTTCCATTTAAGACCTGCGTATCTTCATTTTAAGACCTGTATCTTCAATTTAAGACCTGCGTATCTTCATTTCAAGACCTGTATCTTCAATTTAGGACCTTTATTTTTAATTTAAGACCTGTATCTTCAATTTAAGACCTGTATCTTCAGTTTAAGACCTGTATCTTTAATTTAAGACCTGTAACTTCACTTTAAGACCTGTATCTTCATTTTAAGACCTGCATCTTCAATTTAGGACCTTTATCTTTCAGGTGTGGATGAAGTCAGTGAAGTTGGAGTGGTGTTTGGGAGACATCAAAAGAGCAAAAGCCTTTCTTCAGGAGGCAGTAAATCATTACCCAGACTTTGCCAAGGTAGTTTATACTGTGGTTCAGAATTAAATTTAAATTTTGCTTTAAAAAGTGTCTATCATGTATTGTAGTAAATTGTAAAAATCTTGCAATGTATCATATATAAATGTAACAAAACTAAACAAAAAGGAAGTTTTTGAGCCATATTAGTTGTGCTCAGAGTTTCATCATGTTTTCATAATTTCCTTAAGAAAGTGTTCACAGGGTTAACCAACTGTGGGAGTTTTGATTTTATCGATGAGATATTTGGTAAAAACAGATAAGAACAAATAAAATGAATTTCTTTTCAACCTGAATATTAAGCATACAAATAAATGATTAAGTGTCAAAGCATAATGCATTTTCTCTTAAATGTGAGAGTGTGAGTGAATTGTTTCCTTTTTATGTACAGACAGATGTGTCTGTACATATAGCCGTCATTTTTTTTTTTTTTTTTTGTATCATCCTGTATATGTGTTATATTTTATCGATAAAGATGTTTTTATAATTTTAATTATGTAGTTGTGGATGATGAAAGGTCAGATAGAGGAACAGCTGGGGAACAATGTGGAGGCCAGAGAGGCTTACAGTCAGGGGGTGAGCTTTTATTTATTTATTTATTTATTTATTTATTTATTTATTTATTTATTTATTTATTTATTTCGGTCTCGATAATTATTTATTTTGATAAAAAGTCTCTTTCTGAAGTATCTCTATTGCTGATAATCATTGAAAACTTGAATCTGACTTTTAAAGTGTGCTTGGCCAATGAGACTTTTATTAATGTTCATGAAATTTCAATTTTCCATTGTCTGTAGGCTTCATTGCCTGATTAAATTATTTTTGAGGTGAGCTAGTTCAAGTAATATGAAAAAGTTCAATGAGAACCTCGGACTGTCACCCTCTTTACAGAAATCTAAAATGTTTTGTTTTAATAAATAGTTAAAGAAGTGTCCCGGGGCCATCCCGATGTGGATCCTGTTGTCCCAGTTGGAAGAGAGGACGGGACAGCTGATCAAGGCTAGGTCCATCCTGGAGAAGGCTCGTCTCAGGAATCCCCAGTGTGCTGAGCTTTGGTAGGTCTTTTTTTATGTACAGACACAGATGTGTCTGTACATATTGCCATCACCTGCGTCTGTCGTCGCCGNCTTTGTTTGTTGGGGGGGGGGGGGGCGGCATTGTGTTCTTGGACTCTTGATATTTGTAATCTCTTTTAGTAATTGTTGTTTACATAGATGCTTGTGCTGTTCTATGGTTGCCTTGTTTTAACCTGTTTACCGTTTTTTTTTTTTTTTTTTTTGTTAATTAGTTATTTAACAGCCTCACACGAAAAGTTATGGAAGGATTTTTATGAAATTTTCAGCATAGGTCAACTTAGCATCTAATAATATAATAAAGCATAAATGTAAGAATAATATTCAGTTTCTTTGGTGTGGGGGATCTGCAGGCTGTCAGTGCTTTCTTTTCTAATTCCATTTTGTTGGAATATTTTCTTTATCAATAATTTTACTTTGTGTATATTCATTGCAGCCTTGGAGCATGTCCCAAACTAATTCCATATTGATTGAATATTTTTTTCATTGGTGAATATTCATTATAGCCTTGGAACATGTCCCAAACTAATGCCCTTTTGTTTGAATATTTTTTTTTTATTGGTGATTTTACTTTGTGTATTTTCATTACAGCCTTGGAACATGTCCCAAACTCTGTGCGCCTGTGGAAGGCGGCAGTAGAACTGGAGGAGGAGGAGGATGCCAGGATTATGTTGAGTAGAGCAGTGGAGTGTTGTCCCACCAGTGTGGAGGTGAGCATTGGTGTCACAACCAACACATTCAGGTGTCACAGCTAACACAATCTCCTGTCACAACCAACACAATCTGCTGTCACAGCTAACACAATCTGCTGTCACAACCAACACAATCTGCTGTCACAACCAACACAATCTGTTGTGTTACAAACAATATGGTGTAACAACCAACAGAAGTGTTTGTGATGGCTTTTACTGTGTTCCAGGGAGAATTGATTATTTGTTAGCTTCACTGGAGGAGGTTATGATTTTATCCATGTCTTATCTAACAACTAATTTTGGCAGTATTGTGTTTGATACTTAGCTCTGACCAACTTTGAATAAATCAAAACATACATTCAGGGTTGTAATATGTACCACAGTCTTCTCATATCTAAAGCAATATTATTTTCCCACTAACACACTCTTTCTTTCACTCCAGCTGTGGCTTGCGCTAGCCAGGTTAGAGAACTACGAGAATGCCAGGAAAGTGCTGAACAAGGCGAGAGAAAACATCCCCACAGACAGACAGATTTGGGTCACGGCCGCAAAGCTGGAGGAAGCCCACGGCAACACACACATGGTGGAGAAGATCATAGAAAGAGGTGTGTGGTTATCACTAGAAGTTTTATAGTTGAACTGACTGTCAAGAGAGTTTAGACATAAATTTTAACTTAAGTTTGAAGGAATAGTGGCAAATGAAGGGAAAGTTGGACTGTCAATAAAAAAAAATGTGCTATGAAAGGTGAACTTTGAAGGAATGTTGGCTAATGAAGTAGGAAAAAAATTAGCAAATGATGGAAAAGATTATAGAGGGAGGTGTGTGCTTATCACTATGGTAAACTAATGGCTCAGTCATTTCAACCCGGAAAAGTGTGACTTTTACAGATAATATATTTTTCAGTGATAAATTTTTTAAATTAGAACATTTCTATTGAGTGGTAACAACACAAGCAAAAAGCAGACTACACAGGCTAATAGCTCTATTCTATACACTGTAAAAGCACCATAATGCTAAATAGAAGTGTATTTTTAATGATACCCAGAATTATTTCTACTTAACTTTAAGTACTGAATGGTTAAAGTTGTAGAAAGATAGGCAAACATGTAAAAGAAAAGAATCGAGAATTAAAAAAACCTAAATAAGTTTGGAAAAAAGTTGAATTATAGAGAAAAGAAAAATGAACAATGTGGAGCGGAAAGTTATTGAAATGTATTTACTTTCATTCAAGCCCTGAACTCTCTGCGGGCCAACATGGTGGAGATAAGCAGAGACCAGTGGATCAAGGATGCCGAGGACTGCGAGAAATCTGGGAGTATTCACACCTGTCAGGCCATCATGTAAGTTTGCTCAACCAAAGGCGGGTTTTAAAATTAATCATAGTATTAAAACTGGTCTAAATTTTAGGACGTCTCTGACACAAGTATTAAATGGCATACAGAAGTTTATATTTATAATAAAAGTAGATAACTTTGGTCTAAAAGTTTAGCCCCATTACCCAACTGTAGCTCTTTTGTGAAACTTGAGCCACTATTTGCACTTAACAGTTTATTTGCTACGAGTTTAGAATATTATCTTATAAACATTTTAAATGTTGTAAACATGTGGGAAATTATCTTATTTTTTCCCCATTATATATTTATTTAATTTCATTTGCAGTCGAGCAGTTGTTGGTGTTGGAGTTGAATTGACAAAATGGCCTTTTTTTTTCATCTTTATTTTCTGTTTTTTGTCTGTACATTTGACAGCTTTGCTGCCTTGTTTCCCCATAATTTATTAATTTATTTAATTACATTTGCAGTCGAGCAGTTGTTGGTGTTGGAGTTGAAGATGAGGACAGAAAACACACTTGGATGGAAGATGCAGAATCTGTGAGTACTGAGTCTTAGGGTGTATTCCCACAGATTTAGATCGATCCAGGGATTAAGATTTAGATCGACCTAACTCCCTGGGGGTTCAAGCTAAATTGCAGTCAGCCGAGCGCGCACCATAGTTAATTACCCCCTAGCAGCTTTCAGTAGGCGGGACAGACGCTTAAGCTGACAGTTATCTAGTGAGACTCCCGACAGGGCTTCATTCACATGCAATGTCTATTTTCTAAAATCTATTTTCTATTTGCGGTATGTCTTATGATCACGGTCTGTGCCCTGAATATCCCACGGCGTAATTACTGGCAGCGCGAGCCAGTTACTATAAGTTACTATAAGATAGCGCGAATAGAAAATAGATTTTTAGAAAATAGACATTCCATGTGAACGAAGCCTTGATGTTTGCTTATTAACTAACACACAAATGACATGTAAGTATTATTACTGACAAGAGAGAAACTAATATCTAACATTGTGTTTACAGCAGTAGGTAAATTTAGATGCCTCATTAAAACAATACGATTTGTCATATAACTGATGCTAAGCATTTTTCTGGCATTAAGTGAACTCTTGGAACTTGGGAATCGTCATATTTTGTGCTGCCACTTGCAAAATGTTGTCCTCTGGAAAATAAATGAGTTATTGCATATTGTGGATCTCAAGAAAATAAAAGAGTGAAATTTATGATCATTTTTAGACATTTTATCTCAAAAAGCACTAACAAATACAAGAAAGAAAAATTAGTGCACAAATATGTACTCATACATACACAAAGAAGATGGAAAGTAATTAAACATACACATAAAATAGATTAATTCTAATCCACTTTTTCGAAAAGCTTTTTACTATGGAAGAAATTTGCGATTATTTACCTTTTTTTTACAGTGTGCCTCGCAGGGAGCCGTGGAGTGCGCCAGGGCCATTTACGCACATGCACTTTCTGTGTTCCCCAGCAAGAAGAGTATCTGGCTACGAGCAGCTTTCTTTGAGAAGAATTATGGGACAAAGTTAGTGTCATTTCTTTTTCAGTTTTTGGTATTTGCTGAGTTGGGCTCTTTTAACTCTTAGGCTACATAGGGTCAGATATGGCCGACCCACTTGAATACTTCCCCAGGGGGAATCTATTCAGTGTCTATTAGTGGATTAGATGGCAAGATTTTTAGTGGGTGGCCAAATTTAACCACGGTCTAGTAAGTGCACTGTTCTGAATGGGGCCTTAGAAATTTTCTATACCTGGGCCCTATACATATAATAAAGTCATATGTCCCCCAGGCAGCGTCTGAATTCAGAGTTGATTTTCACTAATATCTTCAAGTTGATGTCTGTCAGGATATGAGGCAACATGCGTTGTTGTAGATACAAGACGAGAGAAGTTAATTGTCCTTTATCCTTACAAACACTGGGGTATTTTACAACAGTAACTTATATTTTATCTGTTAATTGAAAAATATATCATGTACTGAGTGTTTAAAAAATTGATGAAATTATTTCTTACAATAACTTTGATTATCCTTTTGGGTTTGCTCCATAGGGAGTCTGTGGGAACCCTCCTTCATAACAACAAACATTAAAGCAGTTAAGTGTAAAATTATCTTATATCTGTTATATCAGCTGCTGAGCTTTAAAGCTAGAACAATTATTTCTTACATTGGCTTTGATTATCCTTTATAAATTTTGGTTTTGCTCTTCAGGGAATCTCTGGAAACCCTCCTTCAGAAGGCGGTTGCTCATTGTCCCAAGGCAGAAACTCTGTGGCTGATGGGAGCCAAATCAAAATGGCTGACGGTAAGTAGAATTTGATTTTTAGAAAAAAAAAAGATAAATTGTGAGCTGGGGGCCTACTCTTTAAAACAAAAATTTCAGCCATCTGTCAATTATGATAAATTGAAATACTTAAATAAACTGGTAAGTAGTGTTCTGGGGGGGACTCATTTCAAATGAAAAACACTCGAAGACCAAAATTCCAGCCATGTGTCAGCTATGATATTTTTCAGGATTTATTTGCAAAGGTTTACTTCTATTTCTGAATCTATAATTAATTTTTTTTTTTAATCAGGGAGATGTACCAGCTGCCAGAAGCATTCTGGCCCTTGCCTTCCAAGCCAATCCAAACAGCGAGGAGATATGGCTGGCAGCCGTGAAACTGGAGAGCGAGAACAACGAGTTTGAGAGATCACGAAGGTTGCTGGAGAAAGCTCGTGCCAGTGCACCTACTGCCAGGGTAAGGGCTCGTCCAACGAACATGCATAGCCACGTATAGTGAATTTTCAGTGCATGTGAGCATTTGTACGATGTTTTATGCATATGTATCATGGTGATGTTTTATGTTGATTATAATTTTTAAAATTATTTAAATCTGGATTTAAACTTCCATAGCAAATGATACAGTTATTAGTAATTAAGTTCTGAAAAAAAAATGGAACAGTTGCTAAGTTTGTTTTCACACTTATATCTAATTATCTGTATACTGATCACATATTAAACTGGTGAATAAGGGCTGATTTAAAACTTGAACCTCTAATTTAGGACCCATATCTCTGCTTTAGACCTGTACCTTTACTTTATGACCTAATTCTTTCATTTTAGACCCAAATATCTGTTTTAAGACCAGTATCTTCTATTTAAGACATGCGTATCTTCATTTCAAGAACTGTATCTTCATTTTAAGACCTGCATTCCTAATTTAGGACCTTTTATCTTTCAGGTGTGGATGAAGTCAGTGAAGTTGGAGTGGTGTTTGGGAGACATCAAAAAAGCGAAAGCCTTTCTTCAGGAGGCAGTAAATCATTACCCAGACTTTGCCAAGGTAGTTTATACTGTGGTTCAGAATTAAATTTAAATCTTGCTTTAAAAAGTGCATCGTGAAAAAGGGCAATTTACATTCTATAATGTTTTTTTCCCCTCTGACATGGTTTTAAATATTTGATTACATTGTTTCAGCTTCTCATTCATTTTGGTCCCCCAATGAAAAAAATGATAGTTCTGTGTATTTTATTGTCACAGTTTAAGGATATGGGGATTTTTTTTTTTTTTTTTTTTTGTTTGTTTTTTAATTTAATTTGCAACTACAGTCTTTCATGTATTGTAGTAAATTGTAAAAATCTTGCAATGTATCATATATAATTGTAACAAAACTAAACAGAAAAAGGAAGTTTTTGAGCCATATTAGTTGTGCTCAGAGTTTCGTCATGTTTTCATAATTTCCTTAAGAAAGTGTTCACGGGGTAAACCAACTTTGGGAGTTTTTATTTTATCGATGATATATTTGGTAAAAACAGATGTTTTTATAATTTTAATTATGTAGTTGTGGATGATGAAAGGTCAGATAGAGGAACAGCTGGGGAACAATGTGGAGGCCAGAGAGGCTTACAGTCAGGGGGTGAGCTTTTATTATTATTATATTAATTTATTAATGCCTCGCTAATTATTTATTTTGATAAAAAGTCTGTTTCTGAAGTTTCTCTATTACTGATAATCATTGAAAAATTGAATCTGACTTTTAAAGTGTGCTTGGCCAAGAAGACTTTTATTAATGATCATGAAATTTCAATTTTCTATTGTCTGTAGGCTTCATTGCCTGATTAAATTATTTTTGAGGTGAGCTAGTTCAAGTAATATGAAAAAGGTCAATGAGACCCTCGGACTGTCACCCTCTTTACAGAAATGTTTTGTTTTAATACATAGTTAAAGAAGTGTCCCGGGGCCATCCCGATGTGGATCCTGTTGTCCCAGTTGGAGGAGAGGACGGGACAGCTGATCAAGGCTAGGTCCATCCTGGAGAAGGCTCGTCTCAGGAACCCCCAGTGTGCTGAGCTGTGGTAGGTCACTTTTTATGTACAGACTAAGTATATCTGTATAGGAACCCCCAGTGTGCTGAGCTGTGGTAGTTCATGTTTTGTGTACAGAGTATATTATATATATATATTTTCCTGTTTGGTGTCTGTATATCTTCCAGCATTGCAGTCTAGTTGTGTTATATTGCATTAAAAAAATTCCTACCTAAAAATACTAAATGATTATAGGACAATAAGTATGATTTTTTTTTTTCAAAAGACTAGACTAGGCAATTTACGTCCTGTCTCAGTGTCACTTATAAAAAGTTGGACCCTAAAAATGAAGAACATTGTATATGCTTATTGTGATTCCAGGCTGGAGGCTGTGAGGGTTGAAGTAAGAGGAGGACTGAAGAATATCGCACAAACGCTAATGGCAAAAGGTGAGTACTGGTATACAGTATCAGGGTGATCTTTTCAATGTGCAAAAATAAACCTACGAATAGTTAGATGATTTAATAGTCACAAAAATTGTATTGATATATAGTATCTTTGGTGCTTTTACAGCATAGAATAAGATAATGAGAGTTGCCTGTTTTAAAATTTTGTTTTGTCCATAAGTCACCAGATCATCTTGCTCTAAAAATTTGGGCCTGACGTATAAGGGTAAAAAGAAAGCTTTTCAGTGGCCCCCCCTTATGGTGGCCATGAGTTCACTCAGTGGCACCGGAATAAAGGAACATTGATACTAAACTCATTAGAAATTGTTTTAAAATATATATTTCTTGAAGGTATTTTTGACGAATATTTCAGCCCTCCAGGAATGCCCCAGTGCAGGTATTTTGTGGGCAGAGGCAGTTTTCATGGAGGCCAGACCCCAGAGGAAGACCAAGTCTGTGGATGCCTTGAAACGCTGCGAGCACGACCCGAATGTGCTGTTGGCAGTCTCAAAGTGAGTGGCAGATCGTAGACCAAGAGACCGTTCACATGCAAAATCTATTTTCTAAAAATCTAAAAATCTATTTGCGGTATCTTGTGATCATGGTCTGTGCCCTGAATACCCTGCGACGTAATTATTGGCATCGCCGAGAATTAATTACAGCTTTGGAAGAAAACGACTCGCGCTGCCCGTAATTACGCCGTGGGGTATTCAGGGCACAGATGGTGATCACAAGATAAAGCAAATAGATTTTTAGAAAATAGATTTTGCATGTGAACTGTCCCCTATTGGTTGTCATTTAGGCTAGTTCTACATCATGTATTGAGTGTCCTCAGGGATGTGATTCTACCTTTTTTTTTTTGAATGTGCTCGAAATTTTGTGGAAATATTCTTTATATTTTTAAAAAAAATTAATTGCAGGTTGTTTTGGAGTGAGAGGAAGATCAGCAAGGCCAGAGACTGGTTTACAAGGACAGTAAAACTGGACCCGGATAACGGGGACGCCTGGGCAACCTTTTATAAGTTTGAGATGATTCATGGAACGGAGGTGTGTGTGTGTGTGGTCTCTCTTTAATAAAATGAATTATTTTAGAGCCCATTCAGAATTGATCTGAGGACTAACAGATCTGCAGACTAAATATGACTTTACCAACTTAATTATGTGATGTTGCTAATTTAATGATGGTCTCCCTGCCTCCTCATGTACTGCCGGTGCTGAGATTTAATGATTTTAATGATGCGTGTGGAGGTGGGGAGGCCATCAGGGAATTAGGTGGCATGCTTTTAAGTGGTGGCGGCCATATTTAGTCAGCGGACCCTTAGATCATGTGTTCTGCATGAGCTCTTTATCTATTACTGGACACACAAATGTCTCTCTAACTCTCTCTTTCTCTCAGTCTAGTTTTATTAGTAAACATATATTTTTATATCATCTTTTTTTATCTAATACAAAAAATATTAGAAATTAAGTTGTGATATGGTTTTTATTATGAGAAAAAAATTATTAAAATATGAGTTTGATAATGTATCTATTATGAAAAAATTAGTAGAAATTGAGTTGTTATTATGTATTTATTACAAAAAAAAAAAAAAAAATTAAAGAAATTGTAATATGAGTTGTTATTATATATTAATTATTACATAATTTTGTCCCAGGACCAGCAGCGTGAGGTGAGAACAAGATGCCTGGCCCAGGAACCTCATCACGGTGAAAAGTGGTGTAAAATATCCAAAGATATCAAAAATTGGAGAAAAAAGACGGAAGAAATACTAGAAACAGTCGCTGCATCCATACAAATACCAACGTGAAGAACGCTTTCCAAATTTCAAGGATGAAGACTGAAGAACTACTAAAAACAGTAGCTGCATTGATGTAAATACTGTCCTGAATGAAACTTTTCCAATCAGAAATTGGAAGAAAAAATACAGGGCTTCTAGAAACTGTATGTGCATCTATTAGAAAATTATAAGAACAGGAAAGATTTTCTAGAAACCATGGATTCACAGACAGAACATCTAAAAATAATGTCTGCATCCAGGCAACTAGAAGCAATTCATTTTGTATTGACATTAATTTTGTTGTTAACCGAGAGCTCATTTGCACACTAATTGGTGTCAAGGAAATTTGATGTAAGGAAAGCTGCCCAGCATGCTGTATTCTAAAGCAACTGTTTTCACTTGGTGGGAAAATGTGTTCAAAATAACTAGATTGATATATTCGTGAAAACTAAATTCCTTATTTTTCAAAAATCCTGTGTGGGCTGCTTTGTCTTAATTTCATTCAGAGGAACAACTGAAGCTGGCAGTAAATTGTAATTTCACTGTTTACTGATCTTATGAAACCATTGATATATGGGGCGGGGTGAATGATAACAAGCCACCTGAGGAAAAAAAAAAAACACTCGACAGGAAAAAGGTATTTCAGGTACCTAGTAGCATTGAAGTGTTTAATTCAGCACTTGGCTTAGGAGAGAATTACCAGAAAAAACAATCTCATATTTTATTGTGATATATGAAAAAGCCAATAAATAATCACCCATAAAAACAGGAAAGTTTTTTTTCTTTCTGTCTCTCTACTAGCACGTACAGTTTTACAAGAGGTTCTGAATAACAAAGATTTATGATAAAAACTTAGGAAAATGAACATACTACATAACTACAGGTAGGTTTTGCAAATTACTATCCTGAACAAATTACGGACCATGCCATCACTACACCTTTACTTGGTTCCCTATTCCAGTGTGTTATTCAATTTAGATTATAGTTCAATGACGCCCAAAGTAGAATGAGTTCTTGTACATTAACATGTTTTAAGTATATTTCTTGCAATTTTGTTCAAGTACTTTAAACACATTGAGTTTTTTTTTTTTTACAGTTCCTAGGTGACTGATGATTTTTATAATTTTGTACCTTGTTTTCTATCTATGATTTATTTTATTTGACACCGGAGAATCCACATCCTATTTACTAGCTATCCATGCCGTCTTCAGGCACCAGTTTCACACACACACAACAACAAAAATTTCTTTAATTTGTGGTGTTATCACTTCAAATAGCATGAAATAATACTAGGTCATGACTTTTTCAATCTTTATTTCGGAGGATGTTTCTTTATATCTATAATCATTTTATTTTTTTCCAAAGTTTTGAAATTTGCTTGTAAAATCCCATGACAGCTATTTAGCGTGAACCCCCAGGGAGTTAGGTCGATCTAGTTGGATCGATCTAATCTCTGGGAATGGGGTCTTAGTTACATATACTGTGAAAGTGAATAAGAGATTTGACAGCAATTTTGTATCAAGCAGTAGAGACCCCTGTAGTTAGAGAACAGCTCAATTTATAGGAGCCAATGAGTTTGTAACTCAGCAGACCAAATTTGGGCTAAAACATTTTCCCATTTTACAGGCACCCACAGACACTTAATTGTTGCATAGTAGATTGCAAGTCCTTGATCTGTAACCAATATTTTTTAATTATTATTTATTGAGTATTAGGTGCCTAAATACATTGTCACTTTCAAATTGTACATCATAATATCCACATTTTAATACTGACTTTAAGCAAATGCATTTTTAAACAAAGCAACTGGATATGGTTGCTTCCTTGTTGGATGATAATCATCATTTTCCTTTTTGGTCAGTTTGTGTGATACCCCATCACCATCAGGAGAGACTATATTTTTACCATGATCAACTGGATATGGTTGCTTCCTTGTTGGATGATAATCATCATTTTCCTTTTTGGTCAGTTTGTGTGATACCCCATCACTGTCAGGAGAGACTATATTTTTACCATGATCAACAGGATATGGTTGCTCCCTTGTTGGATGATAATCCCCATTTTCTTTATTGGTCAGTTTATGTGATACCCCATCACCGTCAGGACAGGCTACATTTTCACCATCAACTTCTGTAGCACACTGCTCATCTGCTTTTTGACCAGACGACACATTAGTGTGCTTTTTTTCATGTAGATCACATTCACCTCTGCTGACAAATATCTTGTAACAAAATGAACACTTGTGTGGTTTATCAGACTTTTCATGGCGGGTTCTTTCATGAACAATGCAACACTTTTTTTTAGTAAATGTCTTACCGCAGTACTGACACATAAAGGGATTCTTAACAATGTGAGTTCTTTCGTGAACAGCACAAAAGTGTTTACGAGAAAATGTCTCATCACAAAACTGGCATTTGTATGGTCTCTTTCGGGTATGAATTCTTTCATGATAGTCGCAAGTCCATTTTTGAATAAATGCCTTCTCACAATACTGGCATTTGTATGTTTTCTCTCCTGTGTGAGTTCTTTCATGAAGTGTGCATGTCCGTCTTTGAATAAATGTTTTAGTACAGTACTGACATTTGTATGGTTTTATACCAGTGTGGATTTTTTCATGAAGAAAGCAATTCTGTCTGCTAGTAAATGCCTTATCACAGTACTGACATTCGTATGGTTTTTCTCCAGTGTGAATTCTTTCATGAACAATGTAACTCACTTTGCGAATGAATCTCTCATCACAATACTGGCATTCGTATGGTTTTTCTCCAGTGTGAATTCTTTCATGACAAATGCAACCATGTTTATTAGTGAATGTCTTATTACAGTACTGACATTTGTATGGTTTCTCTCCAGTGTGACCTCTTTCATGATTAATGGAAGCCTGTTTACTATTAAATGTCTTATTACAGTATTGACATTGGTATGGCTTCTCTCCAGTGTGATTTCTTTCATGATAAATGCAACCGTCTTTTCCAGTAAATGTCTTATCACAATACTGGCATTTGTATGGTTTCTCTCCAGTGTGAATTGTTTCATGACGAGTGCAACTCTTTTTA